CAGGATTGGGGAGGCCGAGGGGGGAGGGGAGGGGAGGCAGCGAACCCGTGGCTGGGTCGGAATCCAACCTTCTGGGCCCCAAATTAGACCCAGATCCGGAGCCCCCAAAGTCTGTTGCATTGAAGGAGGAAGGAGAAGGAAAGGGAAAGAGAGAAACTGCGGCATTTTCAGACCTAATTCCACAAATGCAATGAAAAACCATATAAAAAAATATGCATTTTGGAAAAAAAAAAACTTGTTTGCATTGTTAGAAACTTCAATTTTTCTTATGAATCTCCAGTTAGAGGCTTTTAAGGTTAGGCAAGAGTTGAATTTAGATCCCTTGTTGGGGGATCCTCTGAACTGGGAAAGGAGACCCAGCCCCCCGCCCATCATTCCCCTTAGCTGAATCAGAGCCTGGGGGGAAGGGGGGAAACATGGGGGGCGATGTGGGGGTTCTGAGGTGCCCCTCTGAAATTGGCTTCCCCAAAACTATCTCTTCTGTGAAGTAGGCTGGAGACCCTCCTTTGAGGTGGTCTTTTGTGGGGGGGGCTGCAGGGGGCCCTAATTTGGGATGGGGACAGGAAAGAGGCCTGAAACCCCTACAATCATCCAAAGGCTGAATATTGGGGGGAGAAGAGAAGTTTGGGGTAACCAGGGAAGGTGGGGGGTTGAGGGGAAGGAAAGGCTGGGAGACCCCAGGAGATCAGTCCAGATGTCCTTATTGTACCCCCTCCCCATGTTCCTCCCCCCAGGAAGAGGGAGACCAAGGTGTGGATATTACCTTCACTCCAGCCCAGAGAGTTTCTGGTGGTCTCTTCACCCTCCACCCCACATATTTCCTGCCACCTTAGGGGGCAAAGAGGCAACGTTCCCTGCAGAGAGTAGAGCGGTCTGCTGCACCAGTTGAACTTCTGTCTGGCTATCTTCAGGGTGGGAGGATAGAGGGGGCCCAATATGAAGCTCCTCCCCGTCCCCTCTTTCCTCCCCACTCCAGACCCCTGGCAACTCTCCATCTCCCCCAGGGAGACCCACTGGGCCAGACAAACCTCCCCCTCCCTCCTCCAGGGGGCGTATTGGGGGAGCGACAGCCCTGTGGGGTTGGCCACTGCTGCCAAAAAAGGTGTTGGAGCTTCTCCCACTTGGGCCGAATTGGGGCCCTTCCTCCCCACACCCCCAGTGGTGGGACATGGAGTGGATTGTACCAGGGGGTCTTTCAGCAGCCCCCTGCCTCTCCCCCAGGGAGCCCCAGCAAGGAAGTGGAGGGAGGCTGAGAAAGGCCCACCCGGGTCCCCCTCGCAGCTGGGTCCTCCAAAGGCCATCCATCGGTCTCCCTCTGCAGGTCTCCCCCTCCCCCTTCCTGTGTGGGTCCCTCCTCTGCTGGCGGCTGGGAGCGACTCCCTCCTGACGGCCCTCCTCCTCCTGCTCCTCCTCCTCCTCCTCACAGCCCATTTCATGTACCAGACGAAGCTCGAGTGCCACTTTTTCAACAGGACGCAGCAGGTGCGCTACCTGGACAGGGACATCTACAACCGGCAGGAGATCGCCCACTTCGACAGCGACCTTGGGAAACACGTGGCCCTCACCCCGTTGGGGCACTTTGTGGCCGACTCTCTCAACAGAGGGCCGAAGTGGATTCCTTCTGCCGGCACAACTATGAGGTGTACACCTACAAGGCATTTATCTGCTTTTTCCGCTGCCTTGTGGAAAAGCTGATTCAAAGGCTGAGAAACTTTGTTGGGGCAATTTTTGGAGTCTGGGAGAAAAGCCTCCCTCGAAACCGCCTTTTCCGTAACAGACTCAGCCGCACCTTTAGCCAAATCCCTTCCGTCTTCCTAGCTGGGAAGGTTTGGGGGACAGAGTTAAAAAAAAGAAAACATGAAAATTGAGATTCAGGTCATAAGAAACTCATCCAACGTTCATTAAACCCTGAAGCCGTCGATGGTTTAATGTAGGACGGCCTGATTCTCTGTTCCAGGTTTCTTGCAAATTACCGAAATTTGTTTTTGGAATTTGAATTCTTTCCATAATAATACATTTATTTATTTCTATCAGTTTCAGAGCCCAAACATTGTGCAAATCAAGTGTTTTAGCTGCACCTGTTGCCATTCGGCCTTTTCGGGGAAATTCTATTTCTTTGGTAAAACCTCAAGAGTTGTTGATATCCCAGTTTTGAGCCCAAGTTTTCCAAAAATAATGTGTCACCACAGAATTAAATAAGATGTCTCTTCCACAAGAGGAAAACCGCCACCGTCCTAAGAGAGAAAGACCTTGGACAGGGAGATCCTGGGCATTTGCTCCTTCCGTAAATAATCGAATATTTCAGGGGACCCAAAAGAGACATTTCTCTCCACAAATACAGTCTGGAGGCAAAACTAATTTTCACTCACAAATTCTTCCCTGCAAACTTAGGAGGATTTTCATCTCCCATGTAATGTAATATAATAGTTTAGGGGAAAAAAATCATATTCTCTTAAATTTGAGAGATGCTGTTTGAAATGTTCTCATCCACCAAAGAGGATATTTTCCTGGAGAAACTAATCCCCAAGTATTTAGTTACTTCAGGACAATATTTAAAATGTAATTTTTTCCCTACAGCCCACACAACATTCTTGTCAACTTGCATAATATTAAATAATATTAATTCACATTCTCACAATATTTACCATATTTACTTCATCACTTCTGCTAATTTGTCTAATGATTTTTGATAGCCCCCCCCCCCAAGATCATCTGCATTTTGCTTCGGTTTCATGAGTTAGGCTCATGAGGCGTCTCCAGGCTTCCAGCCACCCTCTCAAAGGCTCCTCCTTCAGAGGTTTATTAATTAATTAATTAATTAATTAATTCATCCATTCATTCATTCATTCAGGGAAAGGGAGCCTTACAAGCTGCCCCAAATTCCCCCAAAAGCACTTTCTCCTTGAATGTTTTATTCCATCCCTGGCAATGACTCCGTCTGGCTCAGGGGCCTCCCTGGATTCCAGCAGATCAACAGAATTACAGATTTTTGTAGCTTTTGGGGCTCAGCCGCGTCTCCTGACAGCACGTCCAAAATTTCTGGAAGATTTGCCACCTTTTAAAAAGCCTTCATCTGCTCACTAGCTACGGTATATCCAGATGCAGAGAATATACTTTTTTGCAAAATTCAAAAACACTGACCATGAATTTAATTCTGACTAGTATAATTTGTTCCTGAGGAATCTCTCATCAAAGGTATTATTTTTACTTCACTGAAAATGTTTCACATGAGAGGCCAATAATTCTCCACCTCTTTCTCTTAATCCCAATACCTTTGTTTCTTTTTTAAAAAATATTCTGCGTTTTCAGAGCAGATCGTTGGTCCAGCTCCAGTTTAGGAGATCTGAAATCACAAGATGTTTCCTGAGCCTGTTTTGGGGAATATTCTGTCCCTCTTTCTTTTCCTTCTGAGTGGACTTTGCTCTGTGGGATTCAGGCACCTCCTTCCCCCGAGAGGCCAAAGCTCCTCTCTGACCTCAAAGAGATGCTCTGAATGTTTCCTGAACTATCCCCCAATTAAATGAGCCTTTATTTATTTGGGAAAAATTATGTCTATGTCTTACGTTTGTTGTTGCTAATTGCAATACTTTCACCCCAATTCTATGGGTGCTTGATCAGAATTAAACCAGCATTTCATTTTTTTTTTACTATATTAACCATCAGTCTTGATATTAAATAATAAATCTTAAACATGTGTGATGTGGGGAGGTTAAATGTATATTCTTGCTGTTTTAAATCAAGAGGTTTCCTTATGTCTATTAAATAAAATTCCTGGATGGATCGATGGAGGATGTGGTTTCTTTGGGGGGGTCTTTAAAAAGAAAAAAAAATCTTGTTCCAGTCCAATTGTGGATCCAAAACTGAATTAAAGTCCCTGCCCAGAAACTCCCATCTGATGGAATTGTTCCCCCAAAATGTTCGCAAGGCAGTTTTGTAAATAATGAGGTTCATCTTTGGTGGGGCCATAAAAATTATTCATACCACCTGATGATCTTCTTATTTAACTATGAAAATTAATCTATACATTTTGAAGATGTTTTCACTAAAATTTCCAGATTTCAGATTTTGAATTTTCACTTATTTAAATCTGCTCCTTCCATTTTCTTGTTAAAAGTGTTTTCCCATTCAGGAGAATTTGAGTTTCCAGTAAAAAAAAAAGCAGTGTCATGAATTTCAATTTGCAAAAACTGCCTTCGTTTAGCTATTTCACAAAGATCTTTAATGTTCCAAGATACAAATGTGCTTATCATGAAGAAAAAGCCACAAAATTTAAAAATTGAATCTACTTAAACATTATATAATTAAAAATTTAAAAACTTCACCATAACTATAATTTAAAAACTTTGTCATTAAGAAAGACTGTAAACAAACTACTTACACAAGACACTAAATAGCCAATTATTTAAAAGAAAAAAAAGCGAATAAAAATAAAATCCAAACGTACCTTGCGCCCCCCCAGAAGCCAAGACGCAGCCGAGACGTCTCTTGTGGGGAGGAGGCAGGGCGGGTGCCCCCTGTGAGAAACCTTCTTGGGTTGGAAAAGGCAAAGTTTATTTCCAAGCGTTTGCAAAGGCTGACTCATGAGAGAGTTCAGCAAGGTTTTTATGCATCCCCTCACACAGTGCGTCGCGTTGGTCCTGCCTCATTTTCACCCCTGGGGGGGTAAAGCTGAGTTCACAACCTATCCGAGATGCCTAAAACAAATACATTATACAATGATTCCCAAGCCC